GTAATATAAATTATAAGAAAAGGGATAAAAAACAAAAATAAAATTATATTTACATAATATAATTGACGCATAAAAGTTTTTCATACGTTTGTTACAGTATTTACAATATTTAAATTATATATTATGTAGACCTTATTTTTCAAAAGGAATTACATCTCACATATGCATCTTTACTGTAATTCTTGTAATAATTTATTATTCCAGTAAATATTTCTTTGATTATTTTATTAAAAGTCGTTATGTTTATTAAAAACAAAGCGCGTTAATGAATTATAAAAAATAATTTTTGTGTAAATTACAACTCCCAAAAAACGTGTATTAAAATATTTAATGAAAATTAATATCTTATTGATAAATATTTGTAGACGTTATAAGTTTAATCTCTCATAAAAACAAAATATTGCAATATATTTTTATAATGGAGAACGCGCCGATATTTACATTTGCCGCCGTGTATACTGATAACGAATATATAATTGGTTAGATCTAGTTATTAGTTCCGACATAAGGGTGCGCTTTAGTTGCTGGCTAAGCGCCGCAGATTTCGCGCGGGGCGGGTGTTGTCATTGTATTTTCACGTGACGAAAAGTGATTTTTCGTGGGATATTCGACAACAAATTGGGTGAAAATGCCGCCGAAAAAGCGGGAGAAAGAATTGGATGGACAGAAGGGCCCCCGGATGGATCAGATACAAGCAGATCATGAGCTATTCCTACAGGCCTTCGAAAGTAAGAATCCACAGATATCATTTTTCTTTCGCATACACTGCTGCAACTCTATAAAAAATTAACGTCTAAATTCCCATTGTCGAAGTAATTAATCTCTCCTTCCTTTCACGAATACTTCCTACAAATATGGAAAATGGATCGTACATAACCCCTATCGTTGAAAACGTACCAAGCGCCGAAGCGCGCGTCGGTTCTCTTTGCTCCCTCCTTTATTTTAATCCGCATGGGACACCTGTCATTTCATTACTCTATTAAATATACATTTAATTTGATAAACTTTGAATGAAAGAAGTGGTTATAAACAAATGACAATGTTCTTTGGAGTAAAAATCAAATTTAAATTCATTAGTGAGCACTTCTCAACATTTTCTTTATGGTGTATACTATCATTTAAGATTCTCACGCTACAAAGTAGTATTCACGATTACTTACAGTAAAATATTTCTTATCATTTTTTATTACATTAAACTTACAGCTTTTCAATTTTCTCTAGTGCATAACTGCAAACACTTAAAACATTTTATTTCGATAATATCTCTATATATATCACATCGAATTAGTTTAGTTGAAAATATTTGTTTTTCTGAGTAATACTTTGTTGAAATAATTCTCAGTGACTGAAATTTCAACGTTTAATATAATTCGATCTATAAATTTAAATAAAAAAAAAATTAGAACACCGAATGTAAATGTCACCACTCTTCACTTTAACAAGGAAAAGGGATCAGAGAGGTTTAACCTGCTTTAATCGTAACAAGTATAAAGTGCAGGCATCTCGTATAAAAACGAGAAGATCCCAATCATCATATCCCTTTTACACCTAAGAAGGATACATTGTCTTACATTATCAGAATTCCACCTTTTAAACATCTGTGTGAATGATTTCACTTTTGAGAGAGATGTTAACCTCTGAGCCATCTAGGAGCGCCCATTTAAACTACACATCTTTCCTTATATAATGCAATTTTGCTATATTTTCAAAGTTAGTATTTAAATCCTTTCTTTTTTTTCATTTTTATCCTGTAATGCATAATTTGTTTTATTTTTCAGAACCAACCCAGATTTATCGATTCCTACGCACAAGAAACCAAATCTCTGTGAGTAAAAGAAAATTAATTAATTTATATTTTATAATTTTATATGAATTATTAATTATTTATAGTTTAAACATGTCCTCAAAGTGTTAACTGAATATTTCCATATTCAATAGTAATAACAAATACAGAATATGTAATAAATGAATAAAAGAACAGATTTTTGTAAATAACAAATGGATGTGTATATTTGGTACATTATTTTTGTATTAATAATTGA